TTACAATTTTTTCTAAATTGCATCTTAGCCTCTCATGCTTCCTAATGCACACACCCCCTCCTTTTTATACATGAAAGTACCTCTTCTCTTCCCTCATCTAACCAATGTGGGACTTAGAAACAACAACCTTCCACCCCCTTTTTTTTGTTCCTTCTACCTTCTCTCTCTCTTTTTTTTTCAATACATACATAAAAAAAATTATTTATGTATTATATCTTAACTAAATATTGCTTATGTGGTTTTAAATTTAAATTTTTAAATTCATAATTAAATACCTAACCATAATATTATTTCTAAATAACCTCAAATAATATAAATTCCTATTATTATCATTTTTTTTTCTCAAAACCTAAATTCCACAATTTTTTTATTATATAAAAAATCAGGATGTTACATATATCAGTCATTTTTTGGAGAAAAGTTCTCAAAACATTTTTACCTTTTTACCTTTTTTTATATGAATATTTAATCATGCTATATGAAAACGCTGTTGAGTTTAATTAGAGATAGCTTCTTTAAATGTTTTTTTCCAGCATTCACATAAATTTGAATTTAAGACCATGTACTAAAAATGTTATAATCCTTTCTACTGAAAGGTAAAACCAACGTTGTTGCCAACTATTTTTAAATTTTCAGAAAAAGTGTCTAAATTTCACTAGATTTAAGTTAAAAAAATTGTGTTTTAATATATCAATGTTGATAATTGGATAATGGACAGTAAAATAAAAGAAATAAGATTCTTATTTCAATAATAATGATAATAGTAGCAGTCATACTCTTGAAGGCAAAAGCCTTTCGTAATTACACGGCAGCTATGTAAAAAAGCAATCAAAATTATTTGCGTTCATTTAAAATAAAAAAAATAAAGATGCTGTCTTTAAAAACAAACTCTTCCAGGCTTAAATCCTATAAATAACCCTTATTAATCAAGCTGAGTGGTGAATTACATATTTACAAATCACAATCACAAGTCATACACATAATATTTTTTGTCTCTTACTGTTGTTATCCATTCATCAGAGGCTAATGAAAGCGACCCACGGGCCATGGACAAGAACCACACGCATGTAGTAGATCACCCACCAACTGTGCTACCCCCAAAAAAGTGGACAACCTAAACCCATGCGCGCGCCAGCTCTGTGTGTATGTGTGTATATATATATGTGTGTGTGTGTGTGTGTGTGTGTCTGTGTGTGTGTGTGTGTATGTATGTATAAATCAGGAGACAAGTTTACATGGTTTCAGTTTAGATATTTTGTTTATCTGTAACAACAAAATTTTAATTGGCAGAGTGACATTGGGGAGTTCATCACAATAAAGGTTCATAAGTTTTGGATTACGTACGTATTATTATTAAACGTTGAATTTTATTTTTATTTTATTTGAGTTTTCTTATGAATTTAACAAGTTAACATTAATGCTCTATTTATACGGGAAGTTGAGACTTGAGATAAAAAAGAGAGAGAAAAGAAAATGAATTGAAGAGAAAATACTATCACCCATTTTGTTTGGATAAACAAGAGAAAATTAGGAGAAAAGAAAATAGGCAAATGACATAATGACAATAGTACCCTTAGGTCATTATCTTTATTAAAACAAATTGAAGGGGGAAAAAAAAACCATCTCAATGTTTTAACATCAAATAATTTGCAAGATATGTTTTTATTTTAAAATCAAAACAGATAATTTTTTAAAATAAAATATAATAACTTGTGAGAAATCAAATTAACTAACATTAATAAAAGATAAAAAAGCAAATACATAAATATTGATTTATTTTCTAACGTGAAGTCTTTCATCATATTATTGTGTTCATTTTCTTAAAATAAAAAACGGAGAAGACGATGATCATGAAAGTGGAGATGAATATGTGTGTGATGTAGCTAGTTTAACATAGTGTTAAGAAGGTTCACTTCAAAGCTTAGGAGAACAAGAAAAAAAGAAGGCAATATTGAAATAATGATTTTCTTCTCAAAATCTCTTCACATGTGGGGAGAAAATGTGAGAGAAAAAAGTGATAGAATCAATTTTTTATTTTCTTCCTAACTTTTTCTTCTTTTCAATTTTCTCTTCTCAACTAAATAAGGAAAAATGTGTTTTCTTTCATATTTTCTCTTTTAGTTTTCTTTCGTCCCAATCAAACATGGGATGAGTTTTTAACAAAAATATATACCTATTTTTACAAGATAATATTCGATGCAAAATTTATAAGTTCTTATTATGATAAATTACTTTAAGAAAGATTTAAATGTTATTCTCTCATTTTAATTTAAATATATATAAAATTGGAGGGGAAAAAAATAACAACTAGAAGGCTTGAAAGTAACCTTAATTGAAGTATATATTTGTCTTTTGGTGAATTCTGAATAACGAGTATGCGTCCTTGGAATAATTTGTATGTAATTAGATTAGCCTAATTAGTTGGAGATGCTTGCGTCTCGCTGGATCATGATTTTTTTAGTCAAAATGTAATTAATAATTAATAATTACCTATAAAAATATATAAAAAAATACAATCATTGATCTCTGTAATTTTTATTGAATTTTGCTTTTAGTTCATCCAATTTCTTTTTAGTGTTTTCAGTCCTTATAAGAATTGAAAACACTAAAAAAAATTGAAACTAGATGTTCAAGTAACAAATGTCACATAATCTTATTGAAATTATAAGGACTGAAAATAAAAAAAAATTACAACGACTGAAAATAAAATTTGATAAAATTATAGAGACTGATAATTATATTTTTCCTAAAATATGTTTATATATTACATACTCAACGCCTAAACTTTTCAATGATTAAGGATGAAGAGGTATTAAGGATTGCCAAGAGTAGGGAAAGAAAATAAGAGATCTAGAACAGGTAAGGTGTATTAAGGATGAAGAGGGAAGAATTTTAGTTACAGATGATGAAATTAAAAATAGATGGGAGACTTATTTTTCTAAACTTTTTAATGATGGAGAGGATTTATCTAGTAACTTGGAGGATTTAGTAACTGGTGAAGGAGAACAAAATTTGTCATTCTATCGAAAAATATGTGATAAGGAGGTAAAGGAAGCTCTTAAGAAAATGGCAAATGGTAGAGCTAACGGACCTGATTGTATATCTATCGAAGCGTGGAAATGTTTAGGTGAAGAAGGGGTGAGATGGTTAACTAAGTTATTTAATGTGATTTTACGGTCCAAGAAAATGCTTGATGAGTGGAGGAGAAGTACATTAATTCCTATTTATAAAAATAAAGGAGATATTCAGAATTGTACTAACTATAGAGGAATTAAACTCATGAGCCACACAATGAAATTGTGGGAGAAAGTAATTGAGCACAGGTTGAGATTGAAGATAAGTATTTTTGAGAATCAATTTGGTTTTATGCCAGGTAGATCAACTACAGAGGCGATTTATCTACTAAGGGGATTAATGGAAAAGTATCGTTGTAAAGATAAAGATCTACACATGATTTTTATTGATTTGGAAAAAGCTTATGACCGTATACCAAGAGAAGTGCTTTGGAAAGCGTTGGAAAAAAGGGAGTACGGATTGCTTATATTAAAGCCATACAAGATATGTATGAGGGGGTAAAAACTAGTATAAGAACGCCTAGTGGTCAAACAAAGGATTTTCCTATAAAGATTGAACTACATCAGGGATCATCTCTGAGTCCTTATTTGTTCAACTTGATTTTAAATGTTTTGACGGAACATATTCAAGAGGAAATCCCGAAATGTATGCTCTTCACGGATGATATAGTTCTTATAGTAGAGACAAGAGAAGAGGTTAATTGCAAACTTGAGTTATGGAGGAGGACATTGGAGTCGAAAGGTTTTCGTCTGAGTAGAAGTAAGACGGAATATTTATATTGTAAATTTGGTAAAGGACTATTCGAAAATAATTTGGAAGTGAAATTGGGAGATCAAATTATACCTCAAGTGGAAAAGTTTAGATATTTGGGAGCCATTGTTCAAAATGATGACGAAATCAGTGGAGATATTTCACATAGAATTCAAGCTGGGTGGTTTAATTGGAGAAAAGTTAAAGGAGTTATTTGTGACCGTAAGGTGCCTAATAAACTTAAAGGAAAGTTTTATCATACTGCTATCAGACCGGCAATGTTATATAGTAGTGAATGCTGGGCTCTAACGGGATAGCAAGAGCATAAAGTTGGAGTAGCAGAAATGAGAATGTTACGATGGATGTGCGGACATACACGTAAAGATAAAATTCGAAATGAGCACATATGTGAAAAAGTGAGGGTGGCACCTATTGAGGAAAAAATGGTAGAAAATCGGTTGAGATGGTTTGGGCATGTACAAAGAAGACCAAGAGAGGCACCAGTGAGAAGAGTGGAACATATAACTTTGAGTCCGACTAAGAGAGGTAAAGGAAGGCCTAAGAGAACACTCTTGAAAGTTGTTGAACGTGATCTCTTAATTAATAATATTTCTAAAAGCTTAATAAATGATAGAGCACAATGGCGTCTTGCAATCCATGTAGCCGACCCCACCTAGTGGGATAAAGGCTTGTTGTTGTTGTTGTTGTTGTATTACATACTCAACGCACTACTTCTTACACTTAGACCGGTGCTTTTTTATTCTTTTTTAATCAATAATTACAGACTTGAACAATAATTTTTTGAAAAATTAGTTTACAAGAGAAATATGAATATTAGGCATTTAAGGAAAATATTCGAAGTAAAATATTGATTATTTCAAATTCAGATATCCAGAATTTGAACGAGCATATAATTATTTTCCCAACACGAAACAGAGATGAGAAGCAAAGGATATGAAATAGCCAGATTCATATACCTTCTTCGCGATGGCTTCATTGTTTCGCAAGTAGTTTAATTAATTTTCTTGATAGATACTTTTAAGATTGATATTTGTAAACAAGATAATTGATTTCTCTTTCATTATTTCGATCAGAATACTATTGCTGTGAATTTTGTTTTCGATGCATTTGGAGAGAACTGTCATATAAACTCTCAAGTACTCTGGGCCAAAAAATAAAAAAAGACACTCAAGTACTTAAGTGAACAAAAAGAGGAACATCATGTCCACATATCAACTAGTTTTTTTCTTCTCGAATTGTGGGAATGCTTTTCATAGGCTTGGCTTTGATCTACCAAAAAATTTATAAACATAATCTATATTTTCTCAGATATCCAAACCCAAAAAAGCAAGCCAGAGCTGAAATGCCTTCTCAGAGAACCCGGGAAGAGGTAGACCAATGCGTCATAGTTATAGCCCTCGCATGTCCCGCACTGTCATGAGTTGGACGAGCCAATTTACAGTAACTTGTCAACCTCAAGCTTTCATGCAGTGAACAGAGGAATGTTTCGCTGTCATATAACTTCATCTCATTATCTATTCAAAACCATATTGTCACCTCACCCATCTGCAAAATCTGCATTCTAACATTAAAATCCACTATCCACAAATCTCTTCACAATATGCTCGACTGGACCTGCATCATGAAACAGTTATGCAGTATTGTTATAGTAAGGTAATCCTACATTGCACGATGGAAGAGGAAGAAACCTACCCTCTTTAACTTTTTCTCCCTTTTTGTAAAACCTGAATCTACATTAATATCCACAATAGAAGAATCTTGTCTTTCTATAAGAATATTTTGTTCTTTGAGACAAGAAAACACAGCACAAAACAATCATTCTAATGAGAAACTGGTTCACAAGCTATGCTAACAAACTAACGAGTTGATTGTTGAATAGCTAGACTTTCAGCGTTGGCTCTTAAAATTGTTGAGTGCATGAGTTAGTCTCGACTCTCTGAAAATCACAAACTCATTACTTGTTAATTTGAAACATTCTTGGCCACTTGACACCACTAGTGTACAATAATTTTGATACCAACAACGCCCACCAACACAAAACTTAAAAGCTATTTATTAATCAGGAGACAAATTCAGGAGTAATTCCTTCATTCTCAGGAAACAGGAAACTATGTTTATCAGGATTCAGGATAAGTCCTTTAGTTTTATATGCTATAACAATTTCTGCAAATTTATCTTGTACTTCTCTTGTGTTGCAGCAATCAAAGCGAGAAACCAACATGAAAAGGATTCTACAAGTTATTGATCATTCCCATAAAATACCCCAATTTCTCATTAATAATTGACTGTTCAGAAGAATATATACAATATGCATAAGAATACTATGGTGCTCCGCAGAGAGCATTGCTATAGACAGAAGCAAACGCCAAAATGCTACCTTTGTCTTTGAAGAGCCAGCTGTGCAATCAGCAGGAGCTACTGGTCCGGTTTATCACGTTCAGCATCTACTCCTACTTTGGAATTCCATCGTGGATATTTTGAATCTTGATCAGCATGAACGAAAATGTCAAATGGTGCTTCTTTATCTTTTGGCTTCTTCATATTATCAATACCATTGTAATCCAAATCTTGTAGAATACTAGGAAGTCGCTTGTCACCATCCTTGCCATTCTTCGCTCCCATGTCCATGTTAAATTTTTGTTTTGAGTTCATAAAGCTTTTTTCAAGATCTGATGTAACAGATTCACTTTCTGTATCATCTTCTGCAACCCAAGCTCTGAAATTGATCACTGAAGGTGGAATCTTTGAAAAGGACAATTCTAAAAAGTTCTTGATTATTCCCTTTCTATATGGGTTTTCCTTCTTATCATAGCGGTACCGGAAATTCTCATAAGTTGTCTACAAAAAAGAAAGAAACAACAGTGCCAACAAAATATGAGAATAATATAGGTTATGGGTCTTAACAGTCAAGGCATGTATAATAGGGTCAAATTTGAGACTTACGTATGCAGTGAACACCAGAGGCAAAAAAATACAACACAGAACATGTAAACAAGAAGAAATCCTCATACTTGAGGATGAAGTATAGAATCATCTCTCGTATCTCCACAAACCTTCCTTAGAAAATTGCAAAAAGTTTTTAACCAAGAATTTATCTCTATTTCCTTGAGAATTATGGTTCTATGGTTTTCATCCCCCCATATATAATATAACAGCAGATATTCTGAAGAAACTAGTCACCATACTATATAGTCCAGCTAAGCTGAAAATTTGCGTTTTATCCTTTTTAATCTGTATATTTGTAATTTTTTTTTCTCCCAAAGCCGATTACAGTAGGGAACTAACAAGGGTGACCACATGCAAGTATCAAAATAAACCTATATGTGGCAATTCTCTTTTTCGCTTATTCCTAACAGCAGCCATTAGAAGAAAAAAAGACCCAAAACAGAAGGAGGAGCAAAAGAATACCTGGTTGGTCGAGATCAAATAAAGATGGAAAACTGTGAGCCCGCCCACAAACCAGATGACTATGAAGCAATATACAATGAGAATAATTGATATAGCATCATGTGCCATGTTGTGCCCAAACTTGCCCTTTTTCCGACCGATGTTAATCCAAGAAAAAACAAATACATATATACACAACAAGGTTGTTGATGATATGAACAAAACGAAGAAGGGATAGTTTCGCTGCAACAACATGAAGAGGAGTAACAGTGTTAGATGCAGCTAAAAAAGGAAGGAGGGGGGACAATGAGAAATAACAAAACTACAAACAGTAAAATGAAAGAGACTAATCGAGCTATCTAGCCATATCTAAGCCTACTTCTGATCCCATGTTGAAGAACTGCTGATAAAATTTAACTTCTAAAAGAGTTCCAGTTTTTTTGATGAAAAAAGGGAGGAAAAGAAAAAAAAAGAAGAAGTTCGTGAAGATGAAAGATGGCTACTAAAATAAGTTCTTTCTTATATGCGAAAAATATATAAGCGAAGGAAAATAATTAACCATCACAAGCTAACGACTTTTGTCCACTCAAATATAATTGAAACACAAACATTCTGCCAACATTTTAAAGGCAATCATAGAAGATAATGGAAACTCTATAACTGATAAAATAAAAAATTACAGAGGGTAAATAAAAGCTATATCTTCCCCCCCCCCCACCAAAATAATGTTCCTAAATAGCATTAACTTTGAATTCCATGAGATTGAGGGTGGCTTTGGATAACTTACCACTGCAATACACTGACCAACCCATGGGCAATGGTGATCAAACTTCTGTACACAGTTGTTGCAGATAGAGCAATGTGAAGCCCGCGGTGGACGATACAGCAAGCAAGTATCACAGAACTTCACTTTCACTGTATGGCCATTGACCTTCACATCCTTCATTCTAGGTAATTTCAGACTGTTGGAATTATAATTTAACCACTCCATAGATGCTGTATTTATGTCAAGCGATTCATCTGCTTCAAGTACACGTGAATTTCTGGGGATAATTCCTGGATCTCTACAAGATGTCAAGGACAAAAAAGTAAAATCCTGCACCATCCATTCAAATGTCAGATTTAAGTATCAGGCTAGGCAATGGTGCACATAATTGCCAAAAAAACCTCATAGTTTTACCAACCAAAAATGTGAGCACCAGTCCTCCAATCAGTACAGGACGGCTAAAGCGAGGATCATCTTTAAACGTTAAAAGCATTCTTATGCAGAACAACAGTGCAGGACCTCCAATCATGAATGTCGTTAAAAAGAGAGACTTTGCATCCCGACCAAAGACTAATCGCCCCCCACATAGAAATTTCTGACATGAGAATTAAGAGAAGCTTCATCAGAAACTGCCCATATAACTTCACGTCAACTTGTTAATTAAAGAAAGAGAAAATTCATGGACTAGCAAATCATCAGCGTCGTCAATATCAATATCAATACAACAAATTGCAACGTTCATACAAAAAAAATTCCTGCCGTATCTAGTTGCATTCTTAATCCTCATTAGTGCAATGAGGAGGAAACCCATCGAAAGGAGAGAGAGTGAGAGAATTCAGACAATCAGTTAAAAAGAGGGAAGTAAAAAGGTACATTGTTTCCCTTCCAGACTTGGTAGAGCCTTCTGGGTTTAGGCTTGGAAGGTTCAACAGCCACGGCCAAAGGATCGGAGGGAGAGTGGCTGTTGCGGCTACTCATAACGGCTTAAAATTCCCAGACGGCGGCCAGATCGGTGTTATTGCACAATGATCTCCTTTCTTTCGCAAAAACCCACGCCACTTGCGTTGTTGTGAATGGGCGGGTTTTCGTTTCCCCCTCCGGGTCAGCGAATGAAGTGAGATCAATTGGCCATAGCCTTGGGAATTTTCTTTTCTTCTTAATTTACATTCCTCTCATTCTTACAAATCTCAGCCACCCCCTCTGGCTATCTCTCATCTCCGTCTCTCTCTCCCTAAAGAAGCCACCACCAGTCCTAACGGCTTCCTATTTCCACCGCTTTTTTAGCGGGCACAACTATTTTAGACTATACCATCATCGTTCGTTCAACTTCAAGTTTTTCTAAAACCACATCAAAGATTCTTTTTACTAACTCTTATTCTTTCAGCCCGGTTTTGGTCGTTTTGTATATTAGCTGTTCATATTATGCTTATTGTTGTCTGCTTTTCGTTAATAGTCCCGTCGAGAAAAGGCAATATCTTGGACTTGGTCCTTTTCTGTCAACTAGTTGTAGTACTACATTTCCATTTTGATTTGTGTAAGTAGAATATTAATATATGTTGTAATTTTTACAGTGAAAAATTGATAAGTATTTAATCAAGAAGCGTTATTCTTATTTATTTTAATTTGGTATGAGTTTTTATTTAATTAATTTAAAGCTACTGTTGTGATTTACAATATTAAAAAAGTTACTACTGCTAATCAAGGACTGGGAGGAATGAAATTAGAAGGAAGTAATATGATTTTTTTTTTGAAAATATCTATTGCATTTTTATTATTGATTAGTTAATAGTTAATTATTCAACAATTTTTTTAATTATTGCCTAAATAAAAATATTTTGTATTTTACTTTTTTACATTTTATTATCTTATGTTTCTTTCATTCACCATGTGTAGTTTATGATTGTGCATTACAACAAACTTACTTATCAAAATATTAATAATCAATTTGAATGTTTCAATCAAAACATGAAAATGGGGAAAACGTGAAAATATTAGTTTTCTTATAACTATAACTTTCCAACTAGCTAGAAGAAGCATGCAAAACAACAACAAATGTTTGAATCAATTGGTAAAAGGTTATTCCAACTAACCAATAGTCTTGACCATGCAACAATGTTAAAATTTAGTAATAAAATTTGATATTTGAAAAGAATTATCAATACTTAATCCAGTTAATTTAAGTTAGACTTACTTTATATTAGGGGTGGAGGGAAGGGAACTAGTAAGCAATGGCCACGCTCCCTTTTAAAATTTTCTTAATATAATATAAACGTTACATACTTTCAACTCTCCAAAGTTTATGAAAGTTTTGCAATATATATTTTTTTAATCCCTTCTCCTTATTGTCACATCCAGGCTCCTCCCCTGCTTTGCATTCGCTGGAAAAAGTCAGGATTCAAAAACCTAAAGACATACGTAGTAGGAAAGGCGAGTTTTGACGTGGACACAAAAAAAAAAAAATTAAGATGAAAAAAAGGTGCCATGTCCATTGGCAAAACCGCAAAAACAAAAAACCATGGTTAATTGAGTCCTGTACAGGCTATAATGCTCGCCTATTCTTCCTTAGTAGAGAACATGCTTGAGTTTAAGAGCAATCTTATATAAACACCACCAAATTGATTCTGTTTTGGGCAGAATCTATAGCAGCGCGTTGTTGCATGAAAATTCCATGAGGTTGCACTAATTACATGCCAAACGGATGCAAAACAGAAAGGGCGTACCTCCTAAACTCTTGTCAGAATATTATGATGATTCTGAAATTGACACCAAAAGACTAATATTCAATTCACATTCCGAAGTCCATCTTGACATGTTACATTAAACAGAACTTCCTCAGAAAAACCTCACAGCAGAGAAGAAAAGCCTGCCAATAGAGGAAAAGATACAGAATTACAAGTAATTCGTGTCTTAGAGTTTAGATTTACAACCTCTGAGTCACATTATTAATAGACAGCCTGATCTATCTTGTTCCAATTCGCTAGTGTCGTCTAAAAAGAAAAGCTGGTCTACACATGTTACATCTTCCTGTTTGTCATAGCTCCTGCTGATAAAGAAGAGAGCAGCTTGAGTGAGAGATTCTTCTTTTATCCTCTCATTTTCATTTTATTCTCCTTGGGTCTTTCTTTTTCCTGAAAAAAGTACATTTGAATCTCTCCGTTATGATATTATTAGCATGGTTTCTTTTAATTTAATCAGTTTTTACAGGTTTAATGATTCCACTAGTTTAGTTTCAATTGCAGCTTGCACCATTTTGTCATGGCAGGTCAACGGGAAAAAAAGTGTCAATATACAGTGTTGGAAAATTCAATAGAAAATATTTGAGTCATGTTTGACTCTTTTTAAAAGCTATTCCGCCTCACATAGTTAAATGCGACAATTCTTCAAAATTGAATGAACACTTCTTACATAGCAAGCAGGGACACAAAACAATAGGAATTAAATAACGCAACTCATGAAAAGCATGAACGAGGATGAGAGGAAAATGCTCGAAAGCTCAAGGGCTATAAAACATTGGGCAATAAAACATCAATTAATGATGCCTTAATTTCACTATAAAAACAGTTTCGGATAATAATGAGATTTAATACATAGGTTATGAAATAAATATATTTAAATAGTGATTAATATTATTAACGTAGAATAATTTCTCTTGAAATAATATCCAACACATAGCAAGCAAGAAAGTCAATACAGAAACTGAAAGACTAACCATTTTCCATACTTAAAAGCTTCTATACTTGAAACTCTGTAGATAATCAACAAAAATATCCCCTGCATTTCACCGATCCACATAAGCATCCCTTTTTCATGAGGCTCTCTGTGAGGGCCTGAACTATCCCATAATCATAAGTTAACTCTGTCATAGGAGGGATGTGTCTGACTGCATGAAAAGCAACGTGGAGATCAAACTGATCTTTATTTGTGCGTAAAATGGGACGCCAGAACACATTTGGAGAGCAACTATGGTTCATAAAGCGAGCAACATTTCCATAATTTCTTGCAGTTATATAGATTGGATTTGGAATCTTATGTGCTTCAGCATCACTATGAAAGATTTCCAGCTGCTGATAATTGTGTGTGGAGTCAAAAATATAATCGCTATCATTTTCACCACCAAGCTCTTCAACTCTGACATCAATGTCTCTGACTTCTCCTGTATACTCACATATAAAAGTCCCTGCACGAATAGGATCCCAAGACCTTAGACCCCATCCTTTGTCCTTAGTTTTGAATACCTCCATACGAATCTTCAAGCAACCTTGTGAAACTCGGTTTCGACAACTAGGAGGGCACTGACAAGAAGGACCACACTCATATATCATAGATTTTAGGTCCGTTAGTACTCCCTTTGCAGAATATGGGAGATAGCCTCCGTTCTTTTGAATGCAAGGACAGTTCGAATTTCCAGGTAGGCATCCACCAATACAGTTACATCCGCTAGATGGTTCCACAGGACATAATATTGGCTTCAAATTCTTAAGAGTATGACAGTAAGTGAAACTCGTAGGACCCTTCTCATCATCAACATCATTTACAAGACAAACAGGTAAATTTTCTGCCCCAGAACTGAGATCAGGCATTATAAGCCCGACTCTCAAAATAGACTTGTCAGTCCATTGCTGAATTGATTTCCAAATCATATATCCTTCAGACTGCCCAGGCAACCTGACTAATTTATACTTGAACACATTGAAACCTGATTTTCCTTTCTCAACCCAAGATTCCTGGATCTTGTAAAGACCATCATAGACACATACCCTTGCTTTGGAATTTGCAGACTCCTTGAGTCCTCTTGTGACCCTTACTTCGTTACCTCGATGCAGACTCTTTTCTAGTGCAAGATTGCCCCTTTCAAGCTTCTGATCACTCTTTTCTTTACTCTGGCAAGCTCCACCTTGGCCACTGTAAATCAGCACATCACCATCCTCAACATTATCTTCATATCCTCCAGATGATATAATACTGATAGCTAATGGCTCTTCCTCTTGACTAACTTTGACACCCATGTAATCAATCCCAGACATGGATGGAGCATGCAATCCCACCAAGCACAATTCCATCCTGAAATAGAAAATATCTCCAACTTCAACACCAGGTACAGTTCCAACCCGTCTCTCTTTATTGGTCCTAAGCCCTTTGTTCAGCATGACAGTTCCTGCTCTTAAATCAGATCGCTTTACAGCTACCACATTCCCTTCTTTTGCCTCTTCAATTTGTGAGATCTTTCTTCTCAGTACTTCATATATCATAAGTGTATATACAACTGAATCCTTGCCACTGTTTGGTTCAATTAATGCATCCAAACTACAGGGTTAATTGATTTGAGAATATCATCAACCAGTGTATCTTCATCGATATCAGCTGATGCAGAACCACCGTCCTGCTTTCCCTGCCTTTTCTTCCTCTTCTTCTGGGATCTGCTTGCCTCCATTTCACCTTCATGCATCTCAGACACTCTCTGGTTTTGTGGGGTTTGATGAGAGAGCCTCTGTGACTCCGGCGAGGAGAAGAATGGATGGAAAGGAGCCATCCCAAGTGGAGAAATAGAAACAAAAGGAGCGATATCATGGGGTGTTGAAGTGAGAAGGATTAAACGGTGAAGCGAATACAGGAACAAGAGCTCGCAATGGCTTTGGATTCAGAACCACGGACTTGTCAACCGAGATAGGTGCTGGACGAGTAGAGTCTTGATCCGAATTAAGTTCTATTTATACGTTTTGAATAATAAAAAATGCTCTCTTCTACGTGTAATATTTCCTCCCAAGTTTAATATTCGTACATATCTGTGCACCAAAACACATGTAAGATCGTAAGTAAACCTTGAAGAGCGCAAAAATGAGGCAAGAAAAAAACTCATTATACTGTATCAAAAAAAAAAAACTTATTACCAAAACAAGCAAAACAATTGGAATGCATGAAACAAGACTATGAAATTTTTTTGGCCGCCCAAGAGAAAGGAAAATGGATTGAAATTAGAAGGAGCACTGAAGCTTCATCTTTAATATTTGAAAGAGAAATGAAGGTGTTTTTACAGATATGAGGGTATAATGTGTGGTAAGAAACCGAATGGGGGCGTAAATATTGTAACATTAGGTGAAAAAGTAGAATTAGAAGGACATAATCAAAAGTAAGCATGCCTAAAATGAGCTTGGTAGATCTAAAATCTGATGCGTGTTCCAAGTTTCAGCTGTACAACGTCGAAGATCATTCATGTATCTTGCCCAAACCAAAGCCATGTATGGTTCTGCATGTAAGGATTTGGGAGAGTAACCGTGTGTTTTCTTCGGATCAAGTGAAAGTTTAGCGGAGAAAAAGAAGGAGAGTGAGGTCATTTTTATTAATTATCAACCAAATAAATTTTAAAGTATAAAAA